CTTCCACTTCTTCTGCCTCTTCCACCTTTTGAACAGCCTCTGAATTGTTCCCTGGTTGCAACACAACTGTTGCCACCAACTTTTGTGTCCCAAAGTAAATTACTTTACTTCTCTGAGACGCTCACCCCCACGCCGGTGGTTTCTGTTGTCTCATGTTTTGCCATGTCAGTTTATAAGAGAGAATTGAGTGAGCTATTTCTGCATCTTTCTCTACACCTTCCCACCTCCATCCCTGCGGAGGAGATGAACTCTTGGGGACAGGGAGCTCTGTCAACTTAGCATCTTCCCTTCCCACCCCCTCCTCTGCCCTGTGCTCTCCACCTGAGCTGAAGGACCTGTCTCAGGAGCTGCCTAGACAAGGATCCCAAGGTCCTATTTGCCTCTTTTGTCTCTCCTCCACATTCAACCTGTCACCAAGTCCTGTGGGTTCTTCCCCCATCTCTCCCCAATTTCTTTCTTTCTTTCTTTTTTTTTTTTTTGGTGGTTCTAGGGTTTGAACTCAGTATCTTGTGCTTACTAGACAGGTGCTCTTCTGCTTAAGTCACTCCACCAGTCCATCCCCAATTATTTGCCTCTTTCTGATCCCACAACCTTTGCCTCTCATATTTTTAAGTGTCCCCAAAGTGTCAGGCACTGAGCTGGTATTAGGCCACTTTCCTCTCTTGTGAGATGACTATAATAGTGTTTGTCTCGAGGCTTACCCTCCACCCATCACACTCGTTCTCTCTCCCCATCCCAACCTCCTTCCCTTACTGTAACAGTGAAGGAAGGGACAGGGCAGCGCAGCCTGTGCCTGCAGATTCTGTTGCTAAGGAAACCACTTCCTTGGTTACCAGCTCTGGTACCATTTGTCTCACTATGTTTGGATCCCACAGAGTCGCCCCCGCTCTCCAGGAAGAGGAGACAGGAGAGGACTGCAGGAGAGGGAAAGAGGGAGGGAGAGACCGAGAGCTCAGAGATCAAGGGGTAGAGATGGAAAGACACTGTGTAAACCCAAACAGCAAGCTAGAAAGAGATGAAGATGAGATATGGAGAGAGGAAGTGGGGGAGAAAAGAACAAGGGGTTAGAAAGATGAGAAGGAGATGGGGTGTAATGATCAGCTGGAAGAAATTAGACCACAAAGAGGAAATTGAGAAGGGGAGAAGGATAAGCAAAACAGTGAGAAAGGGGGAGGGATGAGGCAAAAGGGAGACAATGAAATTGGGTGTGGGAGGTGCTGGGCCTCTGAGAAGGAGATGGTCCACACAGGACCTGATTCTCTCCCCTTTGCGGTGCTCCCTCTCCCCTCTCACACTGTCCACTGGAGCCCTGAAGCCACTGTGAGACCACAGCAGGGTGAGAGCCAGAATATCACTCCTTCTAGGCCAGGTGTATTTCCTGCACTGGGACCACTGGGGCCCACAGCTTCCCCTCTTATTGTTCTCTGCGCATGGAATGCACTTTTACGCACTTGATGGGGAGGGCAGTTGCCTCAGCTGTGCAGTTACTCTCTGTGGCTTAAGCTAATGACCTCTGAGCATTGGTGCCTCGCCTCTTTAAAAGGGAGTTAATAATCTCTGACCTATCCACCTCATGGAGGGTATTAGAGCAAGCTAAACCTTTCCTTCTTTGTCCGACTATCATCTCCCCAAAGCTTTCTGATCCCTTACCGATGTCTGCTCCGTGCCTGGTAACACACAAACTCTGAAGGAATGTGGAATTTTGTTGGTTTCTTTTTAAACCCTAGAGTCACAGTGGATGCTCAGTAAATGTGCTGAATGAGTGAGTGAATGTTACCATGGTTCCTTCTGATCCCAAATATAAAGAATTGATTCCAGATTGAGACAGAAAGGGCAGACATGGGCTACAGAGGGTTTGCTGAGCTGTACAGCTTATCCCCACTTCTGGCCTAAACTCACTCAAATTCACCCTTTGCCCCCTCTGGCCATCTGTGGTAAGGAGAAGCAGGAATTGGGTGTGGCATAGGATCTGTGAGGTCTGCAGAGGAGAATGCAGGAAAACTAGATGCCTCATGGTTTTCCTCACTTCTGGTTGGGTAAAGTTGGTGACACAAATAAAATTTGGGTAAAAGGAAACTTACACATTATCTCAGGGCTCATCCTGGGACCAGAGTCAAGATTGGATCTCAGATCAGGTCAGGGCTCAGAGTGACCAAGGTCAGGACGGGGCTAGACTGTGGCCAAAATCAGAGCTACATCAGGTGACAGAAGTTCTGGCTCAGTCAAGAAACACTATCAGCATTTGTTTTGGGTGTGTTAAGGTATAGCCTATGACCCAGTTTTGAGTACAGTCAATGACTACAGTCAGAGCTCAGTGTGTATAGTAACAGACTTGGGAGTCAATTAATGTGGAATCTGGATAAGGGGCCGGGATGATAGCATGATCATGAATCAGTATATACCCAGGATCAGGGTTTAGTCTGTGATCAGAGTTTAGTTGTGACCCAGATTCAGGTGTCTAGGATTGATTTCTGTCTGTGACCAGGTCTCAGCTTAAGTCTGAGATCAGTGTAACGTGGGCCTCAGATCAGAGCTCGGTCCTTGGAGCAGGGTTTCCAGGAGCCACATGAACACTGAGCAGAAAGCCTTTGCCCTCAGTTCTGGAACAACTCTCTCCTTGAGATATCTCTCCCTCCTCCCCAGCTCAGTGACCCCAGGACCCTTGGTGGGGAGAAGTCCCTCTCTTTCCTATGCCTTCCTCTTCCCTTCCACATGACAGTATGGAAAACCCTAAGCCTCCCTCTGCCAGGAAAGTCCCCAGGGGACCAGCACACCTCCACGGAAGCTCCTCTAGTGTGTGATGAGAGAAAACCCAGGGTCTTCCTCCAGCTATTTGTGAAGGTTGGCAGATTAAGGGTCACCCATGCCCACCAGGGAGCCACGGGGGCTTCTCTGTGCTCCTGTACTTTCACTGGTTTCCCTACTGTGTAGACATGTACTTAGCATTCACATAGATGTGCTTTCTCTCTCTCTCTCTCTCTCTCTCTCTCTCTCTCACACACACACACACACACACACACACACACACACACACACACACCCCTTCCATAGATAACCTTTCGCATACCCTTGCAAAAATCCAAGCAGGGCACTTAGGCCTCCCAACCCTCCACTTCTACCCCCTTTCTTCCCAGTTACCAAGGACAAAAGGCATGCACAGAAGGCAAAAATAGGCAGCTTCTTGCATTCATTTTCCTCTAAGCACACACACACAATTCCATACACAGAAACCAGACACATTAAAAATGGCACATTCATCATGCTTGTTGGGGGATACAGCCTCACAACATAGAAGCGATTTCACCCAGAATCATACAGTCCTTCAAGAGAGCCAGACACAAAAGTTACACCCCAACCTCCCTAAACATTCTCTGTCTGCCTCTCATACACACACGCCAAGAAAAGCGTACCCTTTTGAATTCACCTTTCACAAAACTTTACCACATGGTAGAATTATCAACAAAGCTCTCATTTAATGATAGTGTTGACCTGAGGAATCTTCAGACAGAAGCTGTGGCCAGGTGACCACCAGTGAAGAAGTGGCCCAGGTCCTGGACCCAGAGTCTCCCAGAGAGAGCGCCAACCTCCATGTGGGTATGGAGACCGTACCCTCTACTCTTCAGGAAAGAAGACTAGAAATTAGCTCAGGGGGGAGAGACATGATACAAAATACATTCAGAGCCCCCTGACTGGGTCCTGGGGTGCCCTAAATTCTACAGATGAGGGGATCAGAGAGGGGAAACACAGGTCCTGTCCCTATGTCCATTTCTTTGCATGGCCAGGATCCAAGGGGCGGAATGTATTAGTCATATCCCTCTTAAAAAAATATATCTTTTTACTTGCCTTCTCCACAGTCCTTTGGCTCTTTGGGAATGAGCCTCCACTTGCACCCCAGTGGGACTGCACAGGAAGCCCCTCCACACAGAAGAGCAAAGACTGTGATTATGGCTTTTACCTCTGTGATGGAAAGCCACTGGTACCCGAGGTCGGGGAGAGATGGGATCCGGGACCAATGATGTTTAAAACACAGTCAGTGCCTCGGGTCCTCGGAAATCCTTTGGTTTGGTGTCTCAGCATCAAGAGAGCAGCATTACAGCATCCCATCCCTTAAAGGGTCCCCAGGGGAAGCAGGTCAGGTTGGGTTGTGATCAAGGGGAGGCTGCTGTCTGGGATGGTACTGGGGGGGCTATGAGTTGGAATTCAAGCTTTCTCACCTGGGGAGTAGGGGACCCCCCTGCAGGAGTGAGGAGAGCAGTGATGATGAGAGTGATGAGGAGAGCAGTGTAAGATGGATGCATTGGACCGCACAATGGAAAAGTGTGTCACAGGGCTCGTTACTCAGATTCTGTACCCATCCCGCTGCGTTAGTTGTGAATGCCTGAGGGACCTTAGACGTGGGATCAAGGACCCCAGTGTCACCTCTTAAACACAGTGTGGGAAGACAAGGACAGGATTCCAGCCCAGAGTTGGGAAGGCACCCAGCGTCTCAAATGTGTGTCCTGGAGTGGCCTCATGATGCTTGTGACCAGGAATGGTGATGCCAAGTGGCCTATCGTGAGCACCATTTATCTTTCCACCCTATCCAATGTCAGGTGCTTGAGCTCCTGCGAGACACTTTCCAGCCATCTTTCTTCCCACAGAAGGTGGCCTGAGACAGAAGTCAGGGCCAGAGCTTCCTGAGTGGGGAAGGGAAGAGAGCCTGGAGCACATGTTGACAACAGCCCCTTTGTGCTGTCACATGTCTTCATGACCACGATGACCGTCCCCCCATCAGTGGAACCCAGAGTGGTGAGGGCAGGGACACGGGCACAGAAAAAGGTCCATGTGTCCAGAGCGCCCCAAACCAGCAGCCCCCCATCTCCAGGGGAAGGGGCGTTAAACAGGGTGGGAGCACCTGGCCCATCTCTTCCCTGGAGCCTCTGTCATGCATGAACCTCACTGAAGCCCAAGAGCTGCCCAGGGCTCTGTCCCCAAGCCAGAGGGAGGCCGGACGGCGGGGCCATCATCTCGGGCAGTAGTCGTCGGGCACGCCGGTGAGGTTGCGGCCCCGGAGCGCCGCGTCTACCATCTTGATGTAGGCGGCGATGGTCCTCTGCATGTCGGCCGTGTAGGGGTCGAACTCGAGCTTGCGCAGCCCCGAGCGTTTGAAGTTGCCGTCCTTCTGGCTCTCCACGCACAGCAGCCGGTCCTCCCGCGCCACCACGCCCAGCAGGCGCACCATGCGGCCCAGCTGCACGAACAGGTCCTGCTTCAGGTCCTCGAAGTGCACCACCAGCACCTTCTTGCCGAACTTGAGCCAGTCCAGCGTGTGCGTGGCCCACCAGGGGGCGTAGTTGCGCACGAACTCCGGCCACTCTGCAGGACCCACGACAGCAGCGGTCAGCAGGACCATCAGGTGACCGCCCGCTCCCTGGCCACCTCCACGTGCACCTCTCTTCCCGTGCCCTAAGCATCTCCTACTCTTAATGGAGATCCATGGTGCTCTAATGCATGGGCGGGCACTGCGACGTGCGGCCAGGGCCTGCTGTGACACAGACATGTCACATAGGCGTAGGCTGCTCTAACAGAGATGCACGCTCAGTAACCCAGGTATATGGTACTCCCACATATAAGTGTATGCTGCTACAATATATAAATAATAAGGAATTGGAGATGATATCTGAAATATTCCACACATAATATATAGACGTGAAACATAAATATTATTGCATAATATATAATTATGTAAAATTTATATAATAAAATATATTGATATATAATTTGTCTATACTATATAATTATATTACAATTACAGGTGACTAACTATATTATAGCCATTAATTCCACTCCTTACAATCTTATGAGCTAGGTATCTTTATCCTTTTTTTTTTTTCAGGTACATTTTATTTTTTTTATTGTTTTATTATTCATATGTGCATACAAGGCTTGGGTCATTTCTCCCCCCTGCCCCCACCCCCTCTCTTACCACCCACTCCGCCCCCTCCCTCTCCCCCCACCCCCTCAATTAGGTATCCTCATTCTCATTTAACAGAAGAGGGAGGTGAGGCAGAGAGGCTGGGTGACTTGCTCAAGGTCACTCAGTTAATAATTAACTAGCAGAGCCTGGATCTGAACTCAGGCAATCTGGCTTCAAGGTCTGGGCCTTTAGTTACTGAGGTGTCCTGTGTAGTGCCAGCCTCTACTTGGGATAAGAACAGGGCTGCTGTACAGCGTAAGAGGTGGATGTGGACACTGTGAGCACGGTGATCGAAGCCCAGCAGGTGCTCAGTAAGTGCTGCCTGTCACTTCTGCTGTTCTTAACCCTGTTCTCGGGTGACTCCCCAGGCTCAGGCAGCTGCCTCCTCTGGACTTCGTGGCCCCTCCTCCTGAAGTCCCAGCATTAATGACTGTGCTATAACCCCCTGCTTCTGTCCTCTCTCGGGCAGACAGCGAGCTGTGTGCGGATGGATTTACATCGGATTACTCGCTCCAGCACCCTCACGCATTCTGCTCCGCCCTTGTCCCTCTACTCTTCATGGCATTATCATGTACGATTTCCTTCTGTAGCCTGCGCCCTGGCCGTGGTGCAGCGACAGGATGGGTTGTCACCAGACTGGGAGGGGGTGTGTGGGGTTGTGTGACTTGCAGGGCGGGTTATATGGTGCATGGGAAATTCCTTGGGGAGTCCTGGAGAGGACCTTGAGGAGAGGCAGCCAGGCCCTGGAGCTCCAGGAGTGCTGGCAGCAGGAGAAGGGTAAATGCGGAAGGGGGCATGGAAGACGCTGAGAGAGAGAGAGAGAGAGAGAGAGAGAGAGAGAGAGAAAGAATGAATTATAGGGAGGCATTCTGAATTGAGATGTGGGGCAATACCACCTAAAGGCATTTATCATTGAACAAGGATCAAGCTAGATTGTGAGCAGTTCAGAAAAGCTAACTCCCTCATCCTTTGCTGGGTGATGAACATCTGTGATCTCATTAAATTTTACCAACTACCCTGAAAGGAAAGGACTCCTATTCACTCATCACCAGGGAGGAGACAGGCTCAGAGAGGTCAAGTCAAGTGACTTGCTCCAGGTCACAGATCCAGGAAGCACCCTCCAGATCAAGCCTTCCTGATCCCAGGCTCTGATGTTTCCCAGCCACCAGCAGTCTCATCCCCACTTCCTCCCACCGCCTTGTACTCGGCAGGGGCTCAATGAGTGGTTGTTGAACTAAATTGAAATTTCCAACCACCAAATTGCAACGTGATAAAGAGTTCCTTTTCTTTGCAGAACACATCAGAATCTGGGATGAAACTCCTGCTCTCTCAGTCCCCTCCTGGAACCCCATGGCTGCTTGGGAAATATTTATGCTGGTGACAAGGTTATTTTTTATTCTTAAAATGATTATCTACAATGTAGCTGACTAATTGGGCCCACACTGTTATAATGGGTTAAGGCCAGATGTATCTGGGTAATTAGGAAAAATCTAGTAAGTGTATGGTCTATTTCACTTTTTCTGAATTTCCTCACTTTCGAGTCCCTGGTGACTCAGGACAGCTGCTACTGTCAAGAAAGAAGCCCAGGCGACAAGGATGGCACTTGTCACCCAGCACCACACAGGTCCAGACTTTTGCGTGGACACAATTGATATTCTCTGGTGTGCTGACAGAGGGTGCAGGGTGACCCCTGAGGAGAAGGAAGGGCCGGTTAGCATTGTGCCTGAGGTCCCTCAGATAACTCCAGGTGCCTAGGCTTGGGTACATGTGGAATGGATGACACAGTGTTGAGGGCCACCTCCTATGGGACCCCAGGCTCCTGAATCTGAGGAGCACGCTGGAAACATATGTTGCTGGACACCTGCTGGGTGTTGGAGGCCATGCTGGGTACTGCACACTCAATCTCATCCCGTGTTCTAGGGAGGATGAATGGCTGGCCCCATGTTACATATGGGGGAAGGGAGGTTCAGAGACAGAAAGCAACTTGTCCAAGTCACAGTGGGTGTCCAAGGCAGAGTTCAAACTCATCCCAGACTGGGCCTGGCTCCCACCATCCCATCCCAACCTTTTAAAAGTGCCATACCCAGAGCCAGGCACAGTAATGTGTGTCTGTAATCCCAGCACTCCTGATGCAAAGGCTGAAAGATGGTGAATTGGAGACTAACTAGGGCTACAAAGTGAGTTCAAGGCCAGCTCAGGATACAAATCAAGACCCTGCTTGAAAAACAAAAATGAAACAAAAAAACCTATCGGATCCAATCAGTTGTGGTCCTCCTTTTTATTGTGGCCGTATTGGTGTGTTTAAATCCAGGGCTTTACCACTTGAGGCGCTCCCCTCACCCTTTTTGCTTCAGTTATGGTTTTTGGCCTCGGTTGACTCGAGCTGTGTTGCAATCCTCCTACCTTTGGCCTCTGGTGTAGCTAGGATCACAGGCATGTGCCCCCAATGACTAGTTTATTTGTTGAGATGGGGTCTCATAGACTTTTTGCCTGGGCTGGCCTCGAACCTGATCCTCCTCATCTCTGCCTCCCAAATAACTGGAATTATAGGTGTGTGCCACCTTGTGACCTGCTGAGGCCCTCTTTTTGCTTCAGGTCTTGGGAAGCCTGCCTCCTAGTGAACTCTGGGTGTTGCCTGAGCCACGGGGGTCTGTTCCTAGAAGACTTTGCAGCCAGATTGCAAGGGTTCAAAACCCAGTTCTTTTCCACCTGAGCTATATAACCTTGAAGATATTATTTGATCTCTTTGGACTCAGTTTGCCTGTGGCAAAGTGAGATCCTGATAGCCTCATCTCCTACAGAAGCTGTCAGTGTTTCATGGTGTAAGATTCACAGAGCTCCTGGTGCCATGCCTGGGCACACCAGAGGCTGGATAATGCTGGTTGCTGCTACAGTGCTTCATGCAGCATTGGTCCTCAGCCTCTCCAGCAACATCCTCCAAAAAAGCACATCAGGTAGCTGAGCAGTTTCAGCTGCAGACATCTGCTGACTGCACCCCGCCTCCCCATGCCAAAGCTTCTGAATTACTTCATTGGAATGAAGAATGGAAAATAAAATAAAAGCCCTCAATTAGCTCAGGGTTCCTGTAATTGATCAGCACCTATGGTCACAATGAGCCACAGTAATGAGTGCCAGTTCCGCCGGAACCATGGCACAGGTGTGCGTGGTACAGGCTGGCCAGTGTCTGTTCTGTCTTCTTGTCTGTTCTGTCTTCTTGGAGGAACTAGGGCCTGATTAATGGCCTCCCTGTACCTAGTTCCCCCACGGAATCATTAGACACAGTATCTGTTTCATTAAACAGATTCAGGACAATTCACCTTGTGTAATCATACCACATAAAATTTTGCTTTGGACTTACTCCAGGGAGACTGTAAAATTAATGTTACGGAACCAAGGGAGGGGGCTTAAGGAGCCTCAAATCATCTACAATGAGATGGGGACAAGAGCAAGCTGGGGTGGACATGACAACAGCTGGGTGACCTCTGCTTTTCCAGGGTGATCCTTCCTCTACATGCTGAGGACACCCTAAAGCAGCAATTCTCAAACTTCCAGGAGCACACGAAGTTCCTGGGTCATCTTGTTAAATGCAGAATGGGATTCAGTAAGCTTGGGCTGGGACGTGAGACTTTTTAGAGGACTAAAAATCTCCCAGGTGACGTTATTGCTGTTGGAGTCCCGGCCACCATTTGAGTAGCAAGGGTTTAAGGCAGTGGTACTTAAGCTGGAGTTTGAGCCAGGAACACCCGGATGACTTGTGAAAATGCATGGGGTAGGGGTAGGGACTCCATTTCCAGAGTTTCTGACTCACCAGGCTTGGGGTGGCACCTGAGAACTTGTACTTCTAACCAGTTCCCCACTGTGCTGCTGGGTCAGGGTCTGGGAACCATGGGTCTCAAAGTCAAGAGATGCTGAGTGCAAAGGAGAGGGGCTGGGTGGGCATTGTTCTTTGGGGAAGGTTCTTGCCAGTCCCCTGAAGACTGGATTAGGCCTGGAAGGGATGCTGGGACTAATGAGGGACCCAGGCCCCCAATATGAGCGTGGTGGATTATCTCCCTATTTCCCTGCTGCCTCTAGGGTCAGCCTGTCCCAACAGATCTGTTTAAAACTCCCAGCTGTCTTGAATAAGAAAAAGGGAGAGGTGGTGCTGGGAATTAGGGGACTCACAGCCATTGACAGCTCATTGACAGGTGCTCCTCAACTTGCATTGGGCTCTCTTCCTAATCAGTTCATCATGAGTGAAAAATATTGTACATCGGCAATGCATTTGCATTTAACACACTTGACCTACCGAGCATCCGAGCTTAACCTGGCTTGCCTTCAGCACACTCAGAACACTTACCTTAGCCTACAGTTGGGTTAGCAAAATCAGCTAACACAGAGCCTATTTTATAATGCAATGCTGATAACTCTGAGGAGTTTCTGAATATTGAGTGAAAGTGGAAGACAACGATTGCATGGGGTATGCGTCCGCACTGTTGCAACATGCACCATCATGAGCGGAGTTGTGAGTTTGCACTCACAGACTTCTCAGCTATGTCAACCATCTGTCTTCTATTACTGCAGTGCTGTGCTCAAAGCCATGGGCTCAGGAGCAAGAGTTCTTGGGTTCAAATCCCAGCTCTATCACCTCATGCAAAAACTCCTTCACCCCCTCAGCTTTACTGAGGTATAACTGGTATGCATAATTTATATGCATAATTTGGTGAGTGTGGGTATGTTGATACACTAGTGTTACTGTCACCACAATGCAGGTCATAAACATTTCTGTCACCTCCCTAAGTCTCCTGGTATCTGTTGGGTTGTGTGTGTGTGTGTGTGTGTGTGTGTGTGTGTGTGTAAGAACAGTTAACATGGGATCTATCCTTAGGACAAATTTAAGCATGGAATATTGTTAGTCACAGGTACTAAGTGCACATATACTCATCTGGTCTGACTGTCTACCACTAAACAGTAACTCCCCATCTCCCTTGGAAAAGCTCCTTGATCTTTCTGAACTTGGGTTGTGTCAACTATTACATGGTTGTCATAGGGCCAGGTGCGGTGGCTCCCACCTGTAATCCTAATTACATGGGAGGGGTAGGTAAAGACTGCAGACTGAAGCCAGCCTGGGCAAAAGCGCAAGCACCCTCCCTGAAAAATAACTAAAATTAAAAAATAAAAATACGTCACAACCCAAGTTGATTCATCTCTACCTGACCTTTTCACTAGTTCCTGATCCCCTTCCCATATTGACCTCTGTCGCTTTAAGGTTTCTGTATAAACATAAATAAATATAAAAATAAAAGGCTGAGGGTGTCGTTCAAGTGGTAGAGCACCTGCCTAGCAAATGTGAGGCCCTAAATTCAAAAAAAAGGTGGAGGGATCATTACTGTGAAAGTTGAGAAGTTAACCCTTACCACGAATGATGGTTCACACCTGTACCTGTAATCCTAGCACCTGGGAGGCTGAGGATTGTGAGTTCAAGGCTAGCCTGGGCTACCTAATCAGACTCTGTCTCAAAAACAAACAAAAAACAAAGAGAAAAAAAACAACCCAAAACTCTGCACATGCCCTCTTAGGACCCCAGGGCTATGTAGGTAGAGTGACCTAGTGAGGGACTCAGATCTTCTGACTTCCAGGCACTGTTTTTTCCTTCAGTGTCACCTCGATGTCCCCAGGATCTCCATCACCAGAATGAGAGTCCTCTCTGTTTATAAAAGGGACAGCCTGGCCTCTCACACCCCTCAAGTTTACATTCCCCTTTTATAAACGGGCAGTCTCAGTTCAGAGGGACTAAGCAGCTTTTCCAGAGGGCTGAGCCCTGGGAGTCTCCCTCTGGGACCCGCGTTCTTAGCCACTCGTCTGTGTAACAGCCGGGCTCAAGGAGGCTGATGCTGGTGGGTGGGGCACATGCGCGCTGCAGTCCCCTTGAGACACGCCCCTCCTGCCACCTGCTCTGCAGACCACGCCCCTCGTGCGGCCCTGCCCCGCCCTCCCCGTCCCCAAGCCTGGTCTTCTCTCCCAAGCCCCTCCCACCTCACCGACCCCACCCTCCCCTACCCCAAGCCCCTCCCACCTCCCAGAGCCCCCGCCCCCACTATCCCAAGCCCCTCCCACCTCCCAAGCCCCGCCCCCACGACCCAAGCTCGCCTACTCCTCCCAAGCAGTACCTTTGCCCTTCCAGTGGGCGTGCGCGGCGAAGCCGATGTGGCCGCCGTACTTGCGGTTGAACTCGGCCATGAGGGCCTTGTAGGGGTTCCGGATGAGCAGGATGGCGGCGTCAAAGGCCTCGATCTCCTTCTGGCCGCTCTCGTGGGTTTTGATGCAAATGGTCCGCCCGCTGCGCCAGTGGTCCCGCTCGCCTTTGAACCCTTCCCCGACCCCAGGCCAGAGGTTAGGCATGGCAGGTAAGCGGGGGTGACAAGAAGCACCCCATCCCTTCTGCACCACCTCAGGGATCCTCACCTGTGCATTCATTTGCTCGCTCAGTCATTCACCGTGTATTTATTGAACACCTACTATGTGCGCGGCACTGTGCTAGGAGCTGGGGACAGAAATGATTTGCAAAAACGTCCCTGGGGCGTTCAGGTATTGACATAAGTGGATGCAAATTCACAGCCACCGTTATTGCTACAAAGCAGACACATTACCTTCTGGGGTCTAGGAGGGAGTCTGGCAGGGACCAACTAGGGTTCCTCTTTGCACAGCCTACATCTCCACCCCAAGGCTGGATTGTAGTCAGGTGGCTTGCCTGGCAATAGTACTATCGGAGCTGGGGTGTTGGCCGAGTTCAGGCTCCTGTAGTTCTGCCACAGTCTTGAGAAAAAAATGCCTGGGATGGAGGAGGGCACTGGTCCCAGATGGTGAGAGATGCGCAGAGCAGACATGATGTCAAACTGCATCCGAGAGCATCAGCCCAGCTCAAATCATGACTTTGTCAGAGGGCGACTGGAAAGGTCTTTTGGGGGAAGAGGTGCTCAAGCTGAAAACTGAGGGTTGAGGAGGAATTTAGTCAAGCAAGACAGGCAGGTCAGGGTGAAGGGGGGCAGGAACAGCAGGTGCAAAGGTCCTGCAGTAGGTGGGAAGAAATGTGTTGCAAGAGAGCCTGCCAAGGTCACACAGAAACAAGAGGGGATTGTGAAGCTAGACAAGGTTGTGGTGTGATGAAGAAATCAATAATAGACTAGAAGGACTGGGCAGCCTTAAGCAAAAGGAAGGAGGGACACGATCAGGTTTTCATTTCAAAAGCCGAGGACCTGACAGAGGTTCTGTGCAGCTGGAGAATGAGGGAATGACTTTGTTGTGATGTTGTGCTGGGTGCTGGTCTGAACCCTTTGCAATATGAAGCAATTCAGCCCTCTCGATGATCCCATGCGAAAAGTTACAGATGAGGAAATCAAGGCAGAGAGGTCCCATAACTCACCCAAGGTATAGCTAGGGAGCCCAGGTCATTCAGGCTCCTGATATTGTAACCTTTGCCCTCAGCCTTCCACTCCGGGAGCCAAGGCCACATTGGGATGGAATCTTGAAGGCTGAGGGGAAAAGTTACCTTACAAGCCTTCAAGATCCTGACTGTTTCTGACACCATGAGTGGTTCTGGACATTATGTCACCTCCTAGGCCTAGGTTACCTCACCTGTCGAGTGGGGCCACACACCTTCTCCCTCACACAGCCATTGTGTGATCTACGTCAAGAAATAGCCCTTAGTACAGAACAAGACTTGATGAAATCCTGGGCCAAGAAGCCAGCGCCTCACCAAGCCACAGAGCACCATTTCTTCCCACTTTGCCCATCCACAACTGTGTTTAATGATTTGTACTCTGGCTTTTTAGGTGCGTGAAGGTGAGGTGGTTGCTTCTGTTCCTGGTGACAGGGGTCCAGAGAAGTACGGCCACCCTCATAGGGCCGCTTGGTGGAAGAGCCAGGAACAATGGTAATGTGCCATCCTGAGTCAGCTTCCATCCGAGGCTAACCAAGTCCAGTTTCAGGATTAGAGGGGTCTTACAAATTAGCACCAGTCCACGTGCGTGATAAAGGGTTAATGACATACAGCCTTCAGGGCTCCTGGAATGCAGTGTGGCAGAGACTTGCCTCCTGAGGGTAAAGAAGAATCAGGTATTGCAGCAAGAAAGAGCTTGGGACATAAATGCTTACCCACGTGGCAGCACTGGGTACAACTTCTTCATGCCATGCTCCAGTGGTGGGAGTCTGCATGGCGTGGACAAGGGATCTGTCACTGAAATCCATTTCATTATGGTCACAGCAATGGGAAGACCCAGGCAGGGCTACACAAGAACCCACACACATTCTCACAAGGAAAAGAAACTGGCAGACACCTGGCACAAACTATTTTAAACCAGCTTCCTGCACTGGGAGACCAAAGACACACTTTGTCCATGATGGAGTCAAGCTTAACACAGTATTTATGGGGACTTAAGACAAACAAGCAAAACCAAGAAAAGCTATGAACACCAGGAAAGGTCTGCTCCAGATTCCGGATTCTGACTGCCTGAGGAGTTATTCTGTCTGTCGGGAGCACTGGAAATGTAGGGAAATGGGTGATTTCATTTAGCAGAGTGGCTCCCCAACAAAGAAGAAAGCAGCTGTTGAGAAGCCACGTGGGGTGGAAGGAAACAGGGAGGTGACAGGGAAGCAGTTGAGGGGTTAGAGATGCAAGCTTGGAGCCAGAGCAGAACTGCTGAACCCCATCACCAAGGAATCCCCTTTTCTACTCTTGCTATAGGGCCCAGCACCTCCATTACCTAAGTGTGGCGTATTTAAGTCATAATACTTAAAAAAACATGTCAGGTTATCTTGGGGCATCCATGTGACCGTCAAGTTTTGAGGGGCTTCCCTGACAATTGTCCCAGGGTGTGTAGAAACAACCTTACGACCCAAAGAAAAAAAACACTATGTCTTCCTTTTCTCTCTTTCTGCATCCCCAATATTATAGTTGCCTGTTATGTACTTAGGGAAACTGAGTACAGAAAAGAGACGTGGCAGATACACAGCATCTCTACATGCCCTGAAGTTTACTGGGGCAAGAAAGTTCCTTCCAGGCAGGGGACATGGACACCCTAAAGTCTGGTGGTCCTCTAAGACAATAGGATTTGTTTTGCAGATAAGGCAGTTCTCAGAAATTCTTATTCAGTGTCAGCTGGACCGACGGGTGACTCATCAACTCCCACCCCATGTATAAGCCCTCAGCAGTTGGGAAAGGACACTGACCAATGCTGTGGGTCAGTGTACCACGTCCAGGCCATCATCTAGCTCCTTGCTTCTCACTCCCTCCCTCAGAAGTCAGGGCTCTGGCTCCTGAAAGCTTGAGCAGGTGGGGGCAAGGAGGTGAAGCCTTTTTAAGTCAAGTTAGGGCTTTGGTGACCCCTCGCTCCATTCATGATCCATTGCTATTCTGCAGAACGAGAGTATAAAAGACAGCATGGGATGAATTACTGCAATGTTGAGGGTTTGAGGAATGACCACTGGGTGTAGGGCTGGAGATCTCATTGGAACCCGCCTGGCACACTCACTCCTGAGATTCTGCTTAGTGTGGTCTGGGATGTAGCTTGGCTGGCCTTCAAAGGTAACCTCCCACCCACCCTCGCCCTCCCGAGTGATTCTGATGTGGTCAGGGACCAGCTCTCTGATTCTGACTCAAATATGACCAGGGTCCCTGACTGCCCTGGTCACATGTCATTTAAAAAATCACATATATTTTATACCACAGCCTCACATGGCTTATCTCACAAGCATTATCTTATTCTACTGTTGGAAAACCTCGGAGCCCAGTGCTGATCCCCCCAGATGACAGATGGGGAAGTTGAGGCTGAGGGGTGGAGGGTCTTGCCCAAGGTCTCACCACAGATTGCCATCATGGGAAACTTCACACTGAAAGTCCCAACATCTACCCCAACTGAAGATTCACTTTCCAGTTCTCTAAGTTGAGTTACTTCAGGCCTTGGGATATAGATCGCTGTTCCCCCTTCCATGCTTTCAACAGCCAGTACCACTTCATTAAGTCTCTTTGTTTCCAAGGGATGACTGAACCTCAGAATCCTTCTTAACACACCATCCTAAAGCAAGCTTTACTGGAAGTGATGCAGGAGATGAAACCACTTTGGATCCCTGACCTCAATCATCCTGAAGGACCCCATTTGTGACAGTCTAGGATATGAGTAGGGTTGCTGTTGCAAACAGGAGAGTGAGAAGAGGGGACTTCTGGGAATGCTTTCTGATCTGTTTCCCCAGCCACCACTCCCATGAAGGCAGCACCCAGCCCAGGGTTAGGAGCACAGGCAAGACTGACAGCAGGCCTGGGTTCGAATTCTGACACAAGCATGCAACACCCTCAGCATGGACACTCAGGCAGAACATGTGCTCAGCACATCAGAGTTGAAACCCAAATCACAAATATAAAAAGAGCTGGGACTAAAGCAGATCTCCTGTTCCCAGCCACTGCTGACTGCAACCTTCCACCTGTCCCCCTTCACCCTTCGCCCCTGGTCTCTGCCTCCTTCCTGCTTTCCACCCTGGGAAGACAGCACCCTGGCTCTCCTGAGCTCAGGTTCAAGGAGGTTCTTTGTGCCTGGCACCCAAGTCATTATACTCCTAGCCTATTTACTATGTGCTAAGCGTATTACATGTATGAACACACTGCTGGCTCTAATGTGTGCATGATCACAGAGGATCAGAGAGATACGGCAGCTTGCCCAAGGTCACACAGCCAGAAAGTGGTCCCCAGCTGCCTTGCAGACACAAAGCCGTGGCCAAAGGCTGCTTCATACATAGATATAAAGCTCATCACAGGCAGAGTCCCTGTTTCTCTGATGTCCCCCCACAAGCTGAGGTGAGGGCTTCCTGCCCAGTGGGCAGTCCTGGCTTCTAGCTCTACAGTGAGAAGCATGAGGATTTCTTGCTTGTGTGATGGAGTAATAAGGATGCAGGTTTTGAAGTCAGGAAACGATGGGTGCAATCCCCATCAGCTTCTGAGAAAAGCATAGAGCATAGAACTGATGATCAGTAAAGCACCCCACAGTAGATGCTGAAGGAATACTTGTGGTGATCTAAGTGGAAGAATGGTACTCGGCACATGTTAGGTGCTTGAGAAATGCCAGCTAGTGAGCTGGTGCAGGTGAGGTTCCAAGATGCAAGATGCAGGCCTTGAGTCAGCTATGAAAGAAGGGAAGGGCCCCACGCACATAGTAGGTCTCAATAAGTGGGCCAGGGAAGGCTGAGTACCACACAGTAGGTGCTCACACCTTCCTGTGGGTCTTTTCCAAGCCCAGGAAGCCTCTTGCTCCACCCTCTGCCCTTTGTCCCCTCACCTTTGTTGTACAGGGACCCATCGAAGTAGTAGCTGCCTGTGTAGAAGCCGGTGGCCAGCTCGATGAGGTGGCGAGCCCACGTGTTGCCAGCCCCAGGGAAGCTGGCCAGGGCGATGAGCTGTTTGGACTTGGCCGGGAGGAACCTTCTGTCCATGCAGCGGTTATCTGCCAAGGTGGGGACAGACAGGGATCAGTGGCACGGGCAGACAGAGCCTGTCCAGAAGGGACAAGGGTATGGATCCCACTCCTGTCACTTCTCAGCTGTGACCTCCAGCAAGCATGATGAAAAAAAACTACTGTGGGCCTCAGTTTCCCCATCCGTAAAATGGAGAAAATGGTTTCTCACCTTCACAGGGTTGAGGTGAAGGTTAGATGGGATAGTGTATGAGAAGGGAGAAGCACCATGCTTAGCGCATAGTAGGAATTCACTGAAAGGTAGCAGGATGAATTTTCTCTCCTGCCTCAGTTTCCCCCCGGCAGATCAAGCCTTTCAGCCTCTCCTCCAGATGAAAACCTTTAATGGTGTTCATTCACCTTTAACAGGATTCCAGGCTGAGGTCCTCACTTTAGCCTCCAACCTCAGTACAGCTGGCCTGTGTACACTGCCAGGTTCATCCCACCCAGTCTACCCAGCACCTGCCAGCATGGTCGAGCTTCACCTCCTCCCCTGTGCTGCGCTCTCTCCGGCCTCTGCCCCTGCAGCACGTCTCTGCCCCTTTTGTCCCAGTGTTCAGCTCTCGGCTGAATGGGTGCTTCCTTCTTCCTTCCCAACTCTGTGAGCTGTCATTACTGCATTTCTAAATCCAGCTCCTTCGTCATTACCACTCTCACAACTAAATTCAAACAGCTACGTCATGAGTTGCTTCAAAAGGGAGAGATTCTGATAAATGTGTCAGTAGGCAATCTTGTTATTGTGCAAACGTCTGGGGTGACTTTCATGTGCTTAGATGCTGCAGTCTACCTCGCACCTGGGCTGTATGGCACAGCCTGTTACTCCTAGGCTACATCTGAATGGCACACTTCTAGACTGAATACCATAGTACTTGTGTGTCTAAATATGTCTGGCTATATATAGAGAAGGTATAATAGAAATGAATTCGGGGCAACAGGAGTTTTTCAGCTCCATTATAACTGCATGGTAACTCTGTCACCATGCAGTGTGTGACTTGTGACTGTACTGTACAATTAGTTGTTGTGATGGTCAGTCTTTTTTTTTTTTTTTTGTGCAGTATTGGGGTTTAAACTTGGGGCTTCACGCTTACTAGGCAGGTGTTCTACTACTTGAGCCACTCTGCCAGTCCTGTGTGTGTGTGTGTGTGTGTGTATGTGTGTGTGTGTGTTGGGTTGGGTGTTTTCGAGATAGGGTCTCTCAAACTGTTTGTCTGGGTTGGCCTCAAATCACCATCCTCTTGATCTCTGCCTCCTGGGTAGCTAGGATTACAGGTGTGAGCCACTGGCGCCCAGCCTCATGATGGTTAATGTTGATGGTCAACTTGATAGGTTTGAGAGATGCCTAGAAGATTAGTGAGGCCCTCCTCTGGGTGTGTCTGCGAGGGTGTTCCCAGAGACGATTGAGGACCCTGACCTCAATGGAGTTGATGGAGTAAAAATTTAAATAGACTACTGGGAGGTGGTGGAACTGTGGAAGGGGGAGGAAGTAGGTCACTGAGGCGTGCTTTGAAGGGTACATCTTGGCATTGGCCACTTCCTGTTAGTCCTCTCTGCTTCCTATCCGCCACAAGGAGAGTGGCTTTGCTCTTGCCATGACTTTCTGCCTCACACAGGTCCACAGCAATGGAACCAGCCAGCCAATCACGGACTGAAACCTCAAACCATGAGCCCAAACAAATCTTTCTCTTTTCACATTGCTTTTCTCAGGTATTTGTCACTGTGACGAAAAGCTAAGTGACACAGCTGTTTGGTCTGAAACCCTGTCCATAATGCACCGTCACTGATTCCTCACTACTTTTCATAATACCTGGCATACAGTGGATACTTCATAAGTGTTTCTGGCACAGCTGGATGAATGAGCAGATGAGTGGGTGCATGCATGGGTAGACTGGGGGAAGGATGGAGATAACGGAGATGGGATGCGGGAGGGGGTGGATAGCAGATGAGATGACAACAGTCTCTAGTTTGTAAGGTTCTGGTAAGGATTAAACAAAATAATGCACGTAATACGTAATACCCTAAAGGGCTCCAAAGAGGTAGCTATTATTTTTCTCTTGCCCTCAATTTCCTCACCTGTAGAATGGCTTGGATGAGTACCACTTGGTATTCTTGATTCTCTGACTTTTTGGAGCCCTCAGACTGTCACCACTGTCACAGCTCAAGGGAACTGCATACCCCAGCACCTCCTCCAGCTGCCTGGCTGGAGTTAGAGGGCACTGTGGCTTCTTTTGGCCCCTAAGCTGTTAGGGCAGCTGAGGGAAGGCCCTGCATGGGGGGCTCTGGAGCAGAGCAGGGAGGGGAAAGAATCCCAGAGGCTGGTCCAGAGTCCTTGACTCATCTTGTCTTCTTCCCTCTTCTCAGGTAACCTCAGTCCTTACCCACCATGGACTGGAAGGTGGGCAAGCCCCCCTCCCCCACCCCAGCCCTCTGGCTTCTTAACCCTCCCACTTTGTGAGTGGGAAGCTGGGTGACCTCTGGTCATGAACTGGATCCCATTTCTGCCTTCTTCTCCAAGGTCCTTGCTCCATGCCCGCTCCACGTTTCCTCAAGCTGGCTGGATCGCAGTCATGTTCAAACATGAATAAAAAACCCCATCACTTACACCCCCTCAGCGACCACCTTCTCCTTCATCTGCCTCTTCTTCATCCTGTCATGGTCACACTTCTGCCAAGGCTGTCCACATCCCCTGTCTCCATGTCCTTGGTTCAACTTGCTGCTCAAAGCACGGCCTCCTCCCTGCTCGCAGCCAGCAGCCCTTGCTAAGGTTCCCAGAGACCACAGACGCACTAAATCCACCCCAGCTCACCTGGGACTGCTGGGTGACTTGGGATCCCTCCACTTCTGACAATTCCTTCCCAGGGTTTGGCCCCACCCTTCCCATACATTGATGTCCTATGATGAATTTCATGGGTTTTTCATGACGGCTCTTTGAAGACGTTCTAGTCCTAGACTTTAATGTCAATTCTGTCACTTAATGCTGAGTGAAAAAATGATATTTGGGCCTTAATTGGCCTGAGGGAACTTGGAGGACTGAATTGGAGAGCGAGAGCTGTGTGTCGGCCTGTGGCTCACACACGGTGGTACCCATGGACTGCAGCTCTCAGTATTGCTGCCACCAGCCAGGAGTAAGTTCTCTCCTCCCATTGTGTTGAATCTATTTGCTCTGAGGAGAGCACTTATGCACCAAGGAATGTCTGTGTGGAAGTCAAGCAGGCCTCTGACAGTGGCTGATAGGGGAACATAATGAAAAAGGATCCCAGATGTGGTATGAGTATGGCTACATCTGTATTTTGATAGAAGTGTGGACTGTCAAGTAGAGTCATTGGTGAATATGCTTAACGTGTGTGTGTTTCACTCCCAGGAAGTGTTACATCGGGAAATCTCAAGCAGTCAGGCATAGTGGCGTATTTCTGTAATCCCAGCTACTCAGGAGGTGAAGGGGAGAGGAAAGCACAAGACCCTGTCTGAAAAATAAACTAAAAAGCGAAAGAGCTGGGATGTGGATTAAGTAGTAGAGTGCTTACAAGGGCAAGGGCCCGAGTTCAACATCCAGTAAGGCTAAATAAAAAAAATATTCAAGCAAACACTGAATTATCATTAATGATAGAAACACTAAAGTTCAATTAGGCTTGCAGTTTACTTTGAAATGCATCAACACATAAGTAGGATCAATGGATGGGGGGTGGGTGATGAAGTAAACATAGCAGAAATTTAACAAAGGCGAGAGAATGGGCACATGGCATTCCCTATGTAATTCTTTTCATTTTCCCCCAGGTTTGACTTTTTTCCCCATACTATAGGGGTAGGAGTGGGGGCAGGGAACTAACTGGCTTCTTGGTTTTCCCTGAAAACACAATTCTCCATTCAAATTCTTCCTGGAAGGCCAAAGTCAACCTAGAGATAAAAGCCATTGTTTTCAGCACTGAAAAGAGTTTATTTGGTTCTTCAGTCCCCTAAATCCCAGCGGGATGTGCAGGCAGTATTGCCTGCAGCTTTGCAGTCAGACAGACCTGGCTCTCACCTGGGCTTCGTGACATTCACTTCCCCTCTCTGAGCTTTGGTTTCCTCATTTATAAAACAGTGCTAACGAACCCTACAGAATAATGAACTATTTGCACTGTCTGTGGAGAAGCTGTGGTTAAGAGTGCAGCCTCAAGACCCCAACTGCCTGGGTTTGAATCCCAACTCTGCCCTGTCAAAGCTGCGTGACTTTGGCCAGCTACTCAACCTCTCTGTGCTGAGTTACCTCTTTTGTAAAATGGCAATCACAATATTTATGTCACTGGGAGGATTAGCTGTATGGAGGCAGGTAACGGGTTTTGATGACGGTTGGTGCACAGTAAATCTTCTGTAATTATTTAGTCCCATCCAGGACATCAGGGCTTAGCATGCAGTAAGAGCTCAATAAATGGCAGCCATACAGGACCAGGTTCCTGGTAGCCTGCTGAACCACACAGCAGTAATGTGTAGACCTGTCAAGGGTGTGGGAAAATCATGGAGGGATGATGACCTGGGGGCAGGGCACGGGAATGAGAGAACTCATCCATGAGATTTTCTGCTGTTGAAAAGCCTCCAACTTCTACTCAGGACACATCAAAGCCCCGCATGGCCACAGAATAATTAATCTGTGTGACTCTCTCCTCCAGGCTAGGACCACACAGCTCTTCCCAGAAAACCAACACTTATCCTTCCTCATTGAAGTGTAAACAGAGCCACCAGCCGCACTTGCTCCCCAGACTCTTAGCAGGACTTTGGTTGTCATAAAATTAGCCATGGGTAGTCACCAGTGGTGACCATCACCCAACCATCGGGCCAAATGGGAGAGACTATTGGAGGGGTTGCCCCTAGCTCTTAATGGCACTTTGTCCAAATCACAGAAAGGCTTCCACCCCTCCGTCTGAGCAGATCTGTTGCCATATGGGATGTGTGGTGTGGCAGACAGAGTGTAGGCCAGCCTGCAGGCATTGCCTTTGCTGTAGACCATGTCTGTGCAGTGCCCGGCCTGTTCATGTATGCATGGTGGCCTGGCTACTGCTCAGTGAGCAACAGAAGGTGTGCCTGGCCCTCTGGGCTCAGGGAGTGTTCTTTTCACTGTGAGCAGAGGTTTCTAGCAGGGGCTCTGAACTCAGAGGCCTGGAAGCAGATTGCTCTTGTAGATGTGAAATCGTTCCCAAGCCCTCTGAGACTTGGTTCTCTTCTCTAGAAGGCAGCGACAACACTGCCCTGATCACTGGCTTACTGTGGACCTCTTGCTAGACGAGAGAGTTGCATAGGGATCCATGCACAGTGGCTGGGGAGTATGATCACACACTGAGGTAAGCCTCTGGGCCTTCCTTTGAGCTGAGTGGTCCAGCAGAGATGTCTACAAGTGCCATCAAAGTGCTAGCTACCCTTTGTGGAGCCTCAGTCAGGAAAACAAGTTTAGAAATAGTCTGATTTCAGACAAGTCCCTCAGCTGTTTGGAGTCTCAGTTTCCCTTCCTGTGAAGTGGGTATAATGACTGTTCCTACCTCATAGGACAGCTGAGAGCATTCAGTGAGGAAAGGCATGTGAAGGACTCAGTACTGACTCTGGCAGTAATGAGGCTGCCTCATTACCATCATCACCACTACCATCATTATCACCACCATCACCACCACTATCATCACCATTATCATCACCATCACTACTGTTTTCATCACCATCACCTCCCAGTACCACCCACCATCATCATCATCATCGCCATCATCAATCACCATACTAACCACAACCATCACCACCACAACCACCATCATTAACATCACCCTCATCATCACCATCACCACCACTACCATTATAATCACCACCATCACCACCACTATCATCATCATTATCATCACCACCACCTCCCAGTACCACCCCACCATCATCATCATCATCACCATCAATCACCATCATAACCACCACCACCACCACCATCACCACTACCACCACCATCATTAACATCACCCTCATCATCACCATCACCACCACCATCCCCATCACCACCACCATCCCCATCACCACCACCATGCCTGGCACCCTGATAGAGGAGGAGATAAACAGCACTGTGGAATCTTCTAGCAAAGGGAAAAGGATAGAAGTGGAAAGGATGAGTGAGAAAAGGAGAGAAGGAAGAACTTAACAGAGTTCTAGAACTGGAAGGGATTTTGGAGGTCAACAATCTATGGATTCATTGTACAGGTGGAGAAACTGAGGCCCAGAGGGGAAATGACCTGGCCAGGATAACCCAGTAGGTCTGCATGGGAGCCAGTAGAAGAGCTGGGCCTCTCTTCCCACTCAATCTCACTGCCTCTAGTATTAGAAAAGAGTCACCAGGGTCCTCCATGCTGAAGGACAGGAGATGGGGTCCTGAGAAATGCTCCCTTGGGCACTTTCCCTTTGTTGTCCCTTCAGGCACTCTGAACCTAGTCAAGTTCCCAGTCCTCTACCCTCTGTTCTGCATGGTTCTCCTCTTGCTGCAGATTGTAGGGACAGATTGACCTAGACATGTCTGGGAGGGAGACGACTGGGAGAGCCCCTGAGGTCTGCTGGGGTGGCCTGGCTTACCTTGGACCTGTGTCTGGTACACGATGAAGTAGCTGGGAGTGCCACAGCTTTCAAACTCCTCTGCACTGCACTTCTGTGCACAGAGTTGTTCATCTTCTCTCTCATGGAGGGGGAACTGTGTAGTGGGAAACCCACAGTGGCAGGCGGTGCCTGCGAGAGCTGCCAGTGGGTACTCCTGGGGGCAGAGGAGGAAGAGGAAGAGAGTCACCAACTCCTCGCAGAGCCCTGGACTCAGAACATGGAGCAGGTTCTGCATCCCAACGATCCCCTCCTCCCTTGACGGGGGGCGATGTGTGTCAATGCACTTCATCAGTGAAACCCACTCTGGTGATTGTGCTCCATCTGTGTACTTGAAATCATTATTTATCTGATTCCTTTAAATCAACTCAGTTTTTCAAACTTAAAATTCAAAGGAAACTTTATAATGGTACTACAGGAAGTACTTGTGGACAAAAAAACACTTCCATTCACTTCCATATTGTAAAGACAAATACCAGTGACTACAGAGACAAAACAATGCAAGGGGGCTCTCTCTGTGGGTGTTATATCTGCAGATCCAACCGTGGACTGAAAATATTCTAAAAAACATTTATCTGCAAAGAACATGTGCAGACATTTTTCTTGTCATTATTCCCCAAACTATATAGTATAGCAACTATTTACATAGCGTGTATATTCTATTCAGATTATAAATAATCTGGATATGATTTAATGTATAGGGAGGATTGTGTAAGTTCTACTCAAATACTACACCATTTTGTTTAAGAGACTTGAACAGTTCTACATTTTGTATTTGTGGGGTGACCCAGAACCAATGCCCTGTAAATACTTAGGGACTGCTGTAATTAAATTCTCCCTTGCCATTCTCATTTGCCAAGGCTCTGATCCTGGAGTCAGCTCCCCTTTTCCTGTAAAAAGCAAGATTAGTTGTAAAGACACCAGCACAAGCACAAGGATGAAGCTTTCTCGCAGAGGACTTGAAAGAGAGCTGAGAGAGAAGTGCCTCTGTCATGCAGTACAGCCCAGTGGACAGCCCTTGGCGTGACAGCCCAGGCTTGTGGAAAGGCCGTCTGAATCATTCTTTTAAGCCAATGAGAATATTGAGACCTATGTGTGTCAGTGACTTTGCTGAAAGTTTTGCTTTGTTGTTCTCTGGAGTAGATAAGTGGGTACAGGGTGGCTCTGGAATTTGGAGAGCAAGGGACTGTCCTCTGTCCTTGTCCAGTTATTCTAAAACACACCCAGGGCTCTGAGTTCTCTCCAGTAGCAATCCTGGAATACTCTGGTACCAAACTGAAGTCACTCCTATGTGGCAGCACCCAATGAGTGTCACTAAAGGATTGGCTTCCTTCTAACAGATTCTCCATAGGAACTGCCACCTGGCTGAAGAGCAGAGAGAGAGATGCAAGTGGGTCCACTTGGGCCATGATTGATGATATTTTCTAACAGGTGACAGCAGTTGGAAATCACCTCTAACTAGTGCCTAGGGGACAACAGTTAATACTCTTGGATTTTTTCCTTTGCACCTAAGGATACCAGAGGAAAATGGAAGAGGGAGGTTTCTGGAGGGGCTTCCTGCCCACCCATCCACCTGCGCTTCCCTCCAGGCCTGACTTGGTTGGCTATGTGACATTGCTCGGGTGTGCTTGTCTCTCCACCTGTGGCTGATCTATAGGTTTCTTTGGAACCCTCAGGGAGTGAGGGATGCCCTGGGAGGGAATTCCTACCCAGGAGAGAGGGGGACCAAGTGACAGTTAACCCTCCTGTAATCTTGTCAACTTCACCTTGACCTTCCAGGATGTCTTATGAGAGCACAGTAAGTGCTCAGGAAATAATGGCTGAGTGAAGGCGCCCTGCCTGCTCTTGAAATGGCTTTGGGCCTCTCTGGGGAGCCCCAGGGTAGCTTGGGAGTTAAGAGCTTGGGTCTGGACTCAGCCCCAAGTGTCAACTACTGCTCTGTTGCTGCCTGTGCTATGAGTTTGGGCAAGGGACTTTGTCTACCTGAGTCTTGGTTTTCTCACCTGTGAAATGGACATGATAATTCTGACCCCCTGGGTTTGTGGTGAGAAGTAAACCAAGTCTCATGAGACGGTGTGAAGGAAAAGCAGCCAGCAGCAAGCTTCCTGAGCAATGCTTCCTTGATTAGGAGCCATGAGAGAAACAGGCCGGCTGGATGGCCCAGAGCAAAGGGAGGGGAGTCACCTCCAGGAGGAGTGCTCAGGCCATCAGCAAGTGCCAGCATCTTGGAGAACAAAGACCATTGTTGACTTTGCACTCCCAGTACCAAGCCTGGTCCTCACTAAGTATTTGCAAAGTGCATGAATGAAATGAAGCATGTGGTGGTGGGGGGGCGGGGTGGGGTGGGGTGGAGGGGTGGGTTCCCTCTGAACATTCTCCTAATGAGCTCACTGTGGGGCATGGCTGGAGCTCCTCGGATATCACTGAATGCCAGTTATGTGCCCAGCTCTACACAAGGTATTGAGGGGGGCACAAAATGGACAAGGTAAAGCTTCTACTCCTGATTGGTCTGGTTAGGGAGGAAGGGTAAGTAGTCACCCATCGAGGATCTTGGGCCGAGAAAGGGACCCTGAGCTCATCAGTCCAACTCTAGCCAGTGCTCTGTGTTCTAGATGTTAGTCCTGCCCTACCTGTGCTTACACTCCTGCAGAGATGGGAGCTTACTCTGTCCATGGGAAAGGGGCATTAGTCCTTGCCTTCACCTGGCTCTCTTCTACACATGTTTCTAAGCCCAGTCCTAACGCCATCCCCATTCCTGAGCACTGCTTACTAAGAGCACACCCTCCCTCAAAGGGAGAGACATCACTCTGTGCAGCTCCACTCTCTTGGGTCCACAAAAATGATGCATTAGGAATGCACCACAGATCACAGACCATGACCTCATCCATCCATTCCGACTGAGCTGCTTCCTCTCCAGCCAGTCTCCCATTCCTTCAGCTGTTCCACACCACCTTGCCCTGCCTCCAGTGCTGCCCGCTGCGCTCACCTTCTCTGTGCAGAGGTCCACGCACTTGTCCACAGACATGTTCGGCATGGCAACTGTTACAGGCAAGGCCAGGGAGAGGTTGTCAGGCCTGCGGAAGCAGCCTCGGAATACAGCACTTCCATCTGGAGAACCAAGGGAAAAGGAGTCATCAGGTCTAGGAGTCAGATCTTGGTGGGCAGACCACCTTCTGAAGGAAGCTCTTAGAAGACAAGAGTCTTGCACAAGGTCTCACAGCAAGCCACAGCAGGGACAGAAAGAGCAGCTACACTTTCTGTTCTCCAACAGGTGTGTTCATAATTCAAACAGTGTTCTCCTCAGCTCCGGCATCTCCACCAACATCCTGCTGACTGACATGAGGTTCTCTCTGGACCTCACCTCCTTGTCCTTGTGGAGGGATGCCATGGAGGGTTTTCATGAGCTCATCAGGAAGTGGGCGAGCACTTGAGGATCAAAGGAAGTAAAAGTTCCAGGCATTTCCTGTCATTTCTCATCGGTACCAGGCCCCTCTCCTTCCCCTTTAGGGGAAAACAGGTCTTGGGAATCTCTAGTCACACAAATCCAATCACCTACAGGCTGCAAGGGACGATATATTAGGGGAGCTCCTTTTAATTTGGAAATATGCCAGCTGCACAGTAAGAAATTTGGGGCCACTTCTAGCTCTTCAATAGGGATCATTGTGTGGGGAGGGTACTGGGGATTGAACCCAGTACTGTGCATGCCAGGCAAGCATTCTACCATGGAGCTACATCCCCAGCACCTAGAAGTCACTCCTTAAGAAAAAATCCAGAGCTTCTGTCTTAGGCTGGGTTACCCAGAAGCACAGACTGACTCTCAAAGAGGGGAGAGACAGGGAGAGGTGGGACAGGGGAAGACTCGCTGGACCCATCTTCAGCCTGACCCCAGGGGGAGCCATGGAGGAAAGAATAGGCCACAGAGGTGTCCCTCCCTTTAGGGAAAGGGGGCTGACCTTGGTCTTGTGTGCCCCTCCTGACATCAGTCCATTATTGCTTGTGAGCCGTCCCCCAGGGTGGAACATAACTTGTGCGGAGAAGCTACTTGCTCCTGCTGGTCCAGTGGCTTTTTTTTTTTTTCCAGAGCAAGGGCAGATGTGGCCTAACTGTCACAATAGCCACTGAAGTAAGAGGATATGGTTGGGCACCCATAGCAGATTGGGGGCTGGAAGGGCATCCACACAGATGTCCATGGGGACTTGTCAGTAAGGATGTTTACTGCAGCATTCATTTACACTAGCAAGCGAAAGGCTGGAAGCAAAGGTGCCAACAACAAGAAGGGGGAAAGAAAGCATGGAACCGCCCCACAAACTGAATTCTACTCCTCCACTCAAAGTGATGCAAATGCTTGTTTTAGCCAGAGGAAGATACATTCAAGACAGAGACAATGGTAAATAACAACCAAGAATGTAAAGTTTCACATAAGATATCAATCTTGTAAAATATTATCTATAAATGGAAAAAGGCCCTGTATTTAAGACAACGAGGCAGGACACCCAACGCAGTGCCAATGAACCCTCACTCAACCAGAAAACTCAGTTAACCGGATGTCAACTCAGGTCACAGGACGGTGAGACGCTGGCTCTCAGAAATATCCGGGCTCATCCTCTCTCTTGAGACTCCACCAGCATTTACTGTGCTGACACCTGGCTCAGCACTGGCTACCTTGGGTCCATTTACTATTCACGGCAGCTCTGTGACTGAGTTGGGCTCAGGTGCAAGCCCACCAACTCTGATCATTTCCTGTGGGTCCTTCCCTGAGCCCCTTCCACCACCATGGTGGAGCTGAGACCCCCAGAAGAGGACAGAAGCCTGTCGGAAGCGGGAAGGGAGCTCGGGCTCATAGGAGTGTGTGTCTCTCTGTATCAGTGGGGGCAGGCGGGGCTGAAAGTGAGGATGCCAAGGGTCTGACTACACCAAGGGCGTGCTTGGGCAGTGGCCCTACACCAGTGATCCATCACTGTGTGCACGGTGTGACTGGCCGTATGTGAAAGGGTGTGGGTATTAGCGTGTGTATCCCGTGTGTACGTGTGTCTGTCTGTGGCAGAGTGAGCATGGGTTCACCTCTTCCTGCATGCAGATGTCACGTGTCAAGAATACAGGTGAGACCTGTGGACCTTGCTCATCTATGGGGTAGCACAAGGCTCTGTGGGCAGTGTGTGTCCACCTGCTTCCCTAGCTTCCTGACAATGGGCATCTGACTGTAGCCACGTGCACTTGACTGTGCACTTCTGTACTGGTTGTGTTGGGCATCAGACCTCTGTGACTGTGAATCTCACACAAGGTGTGTATACACTTGGAGACAAAACCCCCAGAGGTTCTCTCTGGGTTGCTTGGCAACGAGATAGCTGATTGCAGCTCCCAGCACAGGGCAGGCTGAGCTTCAGCTAGCCTCCCCTTACCCCATGTGCTCAGTTCCACCAGGGGTCCAGCATTTTCCAACACTCTCTTGAGCAGCAGGCACCTGGTTCTAACAAAATGTCTATTTTCCCAGTGCAAAGAGCGACACACTATGCAGAGAGAGTAACAAGAGGGGTTGGAGATGGGCTGCAGTCCAGCCTTGACAGTGTCTCTCCCCGGAAGCCAAGAGCACTGAGGACCTTGACATCTCGTGCCCATACCAAGGAACACCACTGGTGACTGCCTAGGTCATCTGTTCCCAGCAGATCTCACATCTGAGTCATATAGGAGTAAGTGTGTTCCTTAATGTGGACCTGTGACAGATGAATAGGGGTCCCCTTTGATGTAGGGATCACTTTGGCATCCTCTTATAGACATGACCTTGAGTAAAGACACTAGGGCATCAGTCAGGGTCCACATGCTCTTCACTGGGCTTCCATGGTCAAGGGCTCTGCCCTGTCACCTCCCCCAGCTGAGCACCTATTTCTTAGGCCCAGTCTACTGACAGTGTCACATTAACATGTGTCTCCAGATGACCTTGTGGGGCCCAACCATGACCCAGGGCCCCAAGGGATCAGCTGTACCATAACAGAAGGCCATGGCTCTTTCCCTGCACTGACAGGCTCAGGACTGACCACTCTGGCCACATAACAAAATCTTGTGACTGGGACACCTGAGTTCTATTCTGACTCTGCTTCTCTCTGGAACTTTGCATCTCACCTGTCAAACAAGCAGCTCCCTCCACATAGCACCCACTGGCAACTCCTCTTGCCCTTGTCTCTGACCATAGAGACTTGCCTGCCTTTCAGAGCTCCCATTCTCATGTCTAGGATGGGAGCATGGATATTGGGTGAATCACACAGGGACAGACATGAAGGAGCCTTGTGAGCTATGGGGGTTGGGAGGTTAGCAGTCACAGGTCTATCTCCTCACCTGCCTGAAAAGAACGGACAATGGATGTGGAATCCCTACCCTGTCATTTCTTCAGCTGATTTCCTTCAGCCTGTGTGGAAAGCAGGAGGCCGTACTGCAAGGGAGGGGAGGGAAAGGAAGATGTGGGCCTGATTTTGCTGAGATGCGTCTCCTTTGACATTTAAGCAGCAGCCAGCAAGTCCTCAGCCTCCTGCTTAGAGAGGGGGACCGAATGCCCTGAATGTCAAATAGAAGAGGTTTTCGGAGGTCTTAAAGGGCTAGAAATGGAAAGAAGATACCGTTGGTCAAGATGTGTGCTGGGCACACAGGTCGGGAGACTGACAGTTGGGGAAGTGAGTTCCTCCTGAATGGAGGCTTTTCCTGTCATCTGAGCTTGGAGGAAACTGTGGAGTCACAGGTGGCTTCTTGATGCACAGCAGAAAAGTTAGAGAACCTTCTAATCCAGCGAGGGAATGATTCAGCTTGACCCCCAGGAATCTGGAGAGAACCTTGGAGGCCATTTCTCTCAGCAGGTCACTCTCCACACCTTGGTGATCTTGACACAGAATACGGACGCTGGCCAAGACATTTGATGGTCCCACTGTCCTCCTGCCCTGCAACTGTGATACAGGCCACCTGGTTCTCCACTTTGGCGATGAGAAACTTTCTCATCTCTTTCATCTGAAAATGGAAACGAAGTGCCCAGTGGATTCCCTCAGCCTTTCTCATGTGCCCCTATGGCATACAGAAGCTTGGATTTCTACACCAGTGGGAAGAACTCTTCCTGTTTGTGAAATTCCTGGTGCCCAGTGGAAAGGGCGTCATCAGCTCTAAGTCAGACAGACCTGAGCCAGGCACTTCCCTAGGCAGTGTTCCTGAGGAAGTGACTTCCCTTCCCCGAGCCTCAGTTTTCCTCATCTGTAAATGGGGATCGGCATATCTACCCTGCACACTTGATGTGGAAGTCCAGGCAATGGCATAACAGCGTCTGAGACCCAACAAGTGTTCAGTCACTGACTTCCTGTTGCTTTCTCCATCTCTTGTCCATGATATGTGAAAGGTGACTGGATCTGTGGAGTAGACACTGTTAGTGCCCCATTATTATGCACATCCCATCCCAGGATAGGTTGACAGTGACTATGACATGCTGCCTAAGGACCATTGAGGGACAGGTTAGACCTCCCAGGGAGCTTACTTCTCCAGAAGCTGACCTCAGCCAATGATGGGTGAAAGTTGAAGAATAAATCTGCATCTTCCTATCCCTTGGGTGGGACACCTCTGAAGGATATTCTATATCACCTCCCAGAAGGAATCCCCAGTGGGATTAGATTTCAGTGTCTTCTATAGTGTAGTCGCCTGCTTGTAAAGGACTCTGTATTGGTTCCCTCCCTCCCTCCTTTCTTTCCTTCCTCCTTCCCTTCCTCCATTCCTCCCTTCCTTCCTTCTTTTCTTCCCTGTCTCACTTCTCTATTCCTCTACAGGTATATCTTGGCATAATCTCTCAAGGCTCATACCCTTGTATCTCAGGAAGCCCAGTGGCTTGGCTCTTTGAACATTTTTAGCTCACAAGGAGAATCTTCCATGGAGCTCTGGGCCATTGCCATTTGTAGCTCATACTCTGTGAGTGGTACTCCCTGGAGCCATGCAGTCCCCCAGCCCTTAACCAAACAACGATGGTGACAGTAACAGCTGTTTGCTATGCATCATTAGTGCTAACTGTATTACATATCACATGTCCCAATTAACCCTCACAACAACCTGCAAGGTTGACAATACTGCTATCCTGCTTTATAGGTAGA